TCATAAATCTAAGTCAATGACAACAAGACAATACCAGTATCTTATGAAAATATATTGGCAACTTCCCAAAGTCATGGTACAATCTAAGTTTTGGCATAGCATGTTAGACAATTTTTTATGATTCAAGGGTCTCTACAGTAGATTATATCATGACAGCTGGCACAGAACCCTTTTAATTCCTGCTTAGTTGAATCTTATTTATCTTCCTGTGATTAATTTTTATTTTAATAAAAATAATAACAGAAATATTTGAATAAAAGAGACTGCTAATCAGATAATACAATGCAACTAATGCATATGAAGAGAATACTGCCTGGAGGAGACTCACAGACTTACACTGGGAATGTGTTCAAGGCACACCTCTCCCAGAAATGTCAATGCACAGAAAATAAGTGAATAAAAGTCATGTTCTTCAAAGCCAAGTGTGACACCTACATGTCACTCAAAGTGTTGAGAAAATAGATCAAACCTAGAAGGACTGTTGCAAAAAGATCTGTCAGACAAATAGTAGTCATGTTTCCAAACCAAACTCTGAATTAGCTTTTTGCCTTTTTAGCTGCAAGGGCATGCCAACCTGTGAGAAGACACATACTACAGCTCATAGTAAGCTTAACAATTGCACCAGACCTAATTAGACTGGGTTCAGGATTTTTGTTATGAGGATCAGTGCAAATAGAGGCCAGAAGCAGTAGCAGGAAGACTTCATCATATTCAACAAAGAGCATTCGTCCCAAAGCAAAGAGCTTACCTGGCTACCCTATCAGTGCAGTGCACCCATTTGTGTTATTCAGCTCCTCTGGACTCTGACAAGATCAGCAAAAGCTGCTTGTTCCACTTCTTTTTAAATAACATCATCATTTAATATTACTTTGTTATTAGTTTTTATAATAATAACAACTACTAAGTTTTCTTATTATACCTACTGCTTCCTCAACCTGTCCGTTTGCTCAAGGAAAGTAGAAAAGTAGAAAAGAAAAGTAGAAATCCTCCCCAATATCAACACAATATTCAGCTGGGGGAAAAAGGACAAGTATTGTTTTCCAGAATATACTAGAAACAGAAATATAAAGGAAGCACAATTTTTATTGAATTGTCTTCTGCAGACTCTTCTAGTCCCTATTTGAAACCATTTTCTGTCTAATTTTTGATTTTTTTTTTTCCTTGGTAAATGGCCTTGATGTACTATTAATTTTCTAGTAGGTTTGCAATGTGATCAGATTAGTGTCTCTGGAACACTTTTTTCACAAAACTTCACACAGCAATATGTTCATAACAGTAGTGGATGAATGAGTAATGGAAACAAGAGGAGCACTAGGATCCTCCTCCTTCCCAAACACAAGAGAAGAAACCAAAAATTACAAAAAGTCAGTGAGCACAAGCCAGCCTCAGCTCCAGTACAAATAAAAGAGAGCTAAATACTCCTTGCAACAGCAGAGGTCATGCATGACTGGCAAAGGTCAGAATTAGGGCTCAGGTTCTTTAGAGCTGATGAAATTGCAATAATGCAAAGGCAAACCAATAGATTGCTAAGTCAGGATAGTTTTAGCAATGGCCACTGTAAGGTGCTGATGTTTCATGTAGGCACTGATTCTTAAAAAAATATGGCTAATCCTGGTTCTGTCAATATAATTTAGAACTTAAATCCTTACTTAAAAAAATTGAATGAAGAAACACAGATTTGCTAATGGTATGGATTAAGGAGATTGACACTTTGAGTCAAGCTGTGTTCTTATCTCTCCTTTTACAAAGCTCAAGTGTTAACTTTGCATTGCCAAGAAGCAAGGATTAAAGCTGCCCTTGCTAGCATTTCAGCAAAACATGTTGCATGTTCCTGTCTTTTCCTGATTGAAATACTTTGCTGTAAACTAGCAGTCTAACTATGACATCTAAGAATATAAAAATTACATGGGGTGTGAAGCAAGGTGTGATCTATTATGTTTGGAACAAGGCATTTTGGGATGGAGAATAAAAACTAATTTAAAAGTGGGATCTGTACAGAGCAGACATTAACCTAAGTACAGGCTGGGAGTGACTGCTCTGGCTGTAACCTAAATTAATGATCCTTAAGAGAGTAAGACAGCCCATCAAGTATGTCAGGTAGGAGAGATGACTGATTATAGAAGTGAATTTCTGTGGCACAACAATGGGTTACTGCCTGATGAGATGTACAGAAAACTACAGTGCTCATAAAACTCCTACTGATCAAATACTGAGTCCACAGTTTTGAACACCAACTGGAATTGGTACTTTGGGTTCCCAGGTTTCCCTTTGTAGGTCTTTCCTGAGGACCAAGTTTCACATGTGAATAAAAATAGTTTTCCTTCTTCAAGCTGGGTGTTTCTGGTTTTTCATTGATCATCCTTGTGAGTTAACTCTATGCTGGACCTATTTTGTTTCACCTTCACCATCTTCCCAAAGCCATTTTAATGTCTGATGGATAAAATGGATCTGAGATGCTTATGTTTAGGATGTTCAGGTTTTTGATAGCTCTGTTGTGAGGCTTTAATTTGTAATGCTTGTGTGAATGTCCTAGCAGTTACACCAACCTACCTCACAACATAAGATCAACTCTTAGCAATCAAGGACATTCCTCTAAGAGGTCAGATTGCACCTCTGAAAGAACTGCCTTCAGGCAGCTCCTGCCAGGGCTCTGAGTGTTCTGGCAAGCCTAAACTGGTAATAACAAGCCCTGACCAACCTCACCTGTGACCTCCATCCACATGCCTATGCTCATTCACCCAGCAGCTCTATTTCACCTCTTGCCCGAGCCTTCAGTCCCTGCCTGAGCTGTAGCACAGCTGTGCTTGTCCCCAGCTGCCCTGATTTAGAGACCAGTTTTGCCAAAGGAACTCCAGACTGACAAAGGTGGTAGCCTTGTATCGTGTCCCCTGGAATGACATTAGACTTATGACATAGCCTTCTTTTTAAGCCCTCTCCTGCTGTTCCTTCCCAACTGGACTCCCAGGATCAGGCTCATCACCTTGACTGGGGCTGCTGGTGGACCTTGTCACTACCACCACCCTGCCCTCCTCAGGTCCTGTGGAACTGCACCAGGTGTGCTCCTGTGGTTACCCTCAGTAGCCATTTTCGCTGCTCCCTGCCACTGGATATCATACAACACTGGGGGGAAAAATAATCCTCTTATCTTATCTTTATGTGGGAATGTATATAGGAAATCATTATTTACACCATGTACAAAAGTGCATGATTACTCCTACCAAATTTTCCCAGGATGTTTCCTTCTCAGGGTAGGAACAACTTCCAGCTATTCCAGCGCCTTGCCAGAAATTCACCTTCCACAGAGCAACAAACACCAAAATTAAACAAGACCACACCAAAGCAATCAACACAAGAACTTCCAGCACCTCTGCCTTTACACAGCAAAGAGCCTGTGCAATTGTGCAACGTGCCTCAGTGTCTGCTAACTCATCACTTCTAGGTTAGATTCATGTCTATCTCCCACAACCCCATGACTGCTCTTTGTTCCATCTATCTTAACTACTCTTTCCCTGTAGGTACACAAGTTAAGCAATGTTAATTAGGATGTTCCCAAATAAATTGTTTCCAGTCTGGTTAAGCCTAATGTTCACTTGAGTTGTGCAAGAGCTGAAAGACTTAGATATGTTAGATACAGATACATCTTATACATAGATATATATCCTCTAAATGTATGTTAGTTTAACAAAATACCTTTTTTTTCTCACTATAAGTTTTGCCTCTGTAACAACCAGAGGCCCTTGTGCCTAGTAACATATGGATTACTAGTAGTTCTAAGCTTTTTTGGAATTAGGCTAGCTGAAGATAGTAGTCCTACAGCCATCATAAAGAAAAGCTTTGGAGGATCACCTCAGAAAATTCACAGTAAAAAGGTGCATACTGATCCTTGGATACCTTGGTCATGAAAACCTCACAGGAAGCTCTGCAGAACAAAGGCCTAAGAGAATGCTGGAAGTATAACGCATGCAGGTATTTTCACTGAATGCAGACTGAGGAACCTAATTAGGCTAGAATTATAAAACAATTAAATATTTATTCACCATTTTAATTCACCACTTGCTTGCTGAGAATTACAGAGTAAATGCGTGTCTGCCTGTAGGGAAGTGAGCTAGGTTTCACACAGTACCCAAGTACAGCTTCACAAACTGCTTGTAAGCTCTCAGGTGAGACACTCAGCCTCTCTGGCTCAGATATGTGGCTTAACATGGGAACACCGTTGTGCTGCAGTGAACATAAATGTAGTAGTACATGCTAACTATTCTACTGGGGCTTTGCTGCTGATCCTTAACTATCCACATTAAAAATAGTTATTTCCTCTGATAAATATTTTTCAAGTTGTTTTCACTCTTAAGAACATATTAACAAATTCCCTTTGAAAAACAAATTCCCAACACCACTTTTATGTTATGAGTACTCAGGAAAAATTTGAAAGAACTGAAAGGGTTATTCCCTCTCACTTTTCCCTATAGCCTTTGTGGACGGTTTCACAATTTTCCAAGTATATCGGGAAATTTCAGGATGCCTCCACGGCATTAGTGCTGGTGACTTTAGAGCCTCCAGCAACTGGCGGCTGTGTGACGGTCAGCAGCAGGCACCTCGGGAAGGCGTGCGCGGTGAATCCAGGTGTTGGCTCGGTGGATATGATTAACAAGGAAGATAAAATCCTCGCAGTCGAGGCTGTTCTGGTAGATGTCGAATGGTATTTGGGAAACAGCCTGACATCGCCAGCCGTGAGCGCTGTTCTCAGGCGGCGCTCCTGGAGCTCGGCCCTGTTCCCACAGGTGCTCACAGACCGCCACTCGGGTGTCACCTTTGCAGCACCTGGTGAAGCACACACATCTCTCCGCATGCTAGCCTCCCCTTACGGGCACCGCAGCGCTTTGCCGCCCAGCCTGCCGGAAAACGCTGGGAGGAGGGAAAAAAGAGAGAAGATCCCACCTCGCCGGGCCCATCCCCTGCCCGCTCCCCGCCCCGCGGCCCCGCCCCGGCCCGCCCCTGGCCCGGCAGCGCGCAGACCGCGCCCGGCGAGCTCGGCCGGTTCCTTCCGTGGCCATGCGGCTCCTCGGCCACGCATCCTGCGCTCTGCGGCTGCTGCTGCTGCTGCTGCTGGTCCGCGGCTCCCGTGAGTAGCGCCCGAGGGGGGACGGGCCGGGCCGGGCCCAGCTGAGCTGGGGCGGGTGGACGGGGGGCCCTGCGCCCCTCATAGCCGCTCTGCCTGGCTGCTGCCGCCGCATTCCGCTGGGGCTGATCCAGGCCTTGCCCCGCCGCTTGCCCCGCGGGGCGGCAGCGGGACAGCTCCGAGTGGGAGCCGGGGACGCACGGCCGGCGTGTCCGGGAGCTGTATCAAAAACGGAGAGGAGGGGTTAATATTCGTGATGTTTGTTCAGTAGAAACCACAATGCCAGGAACCCCCCGAGGAGTGTTTGGGTTGGGGGTGCGTACGCCCGCAGGGATGCGCGGGCGCGGCCCAGTCTCGGCTTCGCCCCGGGGCCCGGAGCGTTCCCGGGACCGGCCGGGGAACACGGGGGAGCCCCCGGCGGGGCCGGGCTGGGAAGGGCCGCTCCGTGCCCCTTCGGGGTGCTGCTCTCTGGGGCTGTGCTCGGGGCTCCGGCTCACGGTGGCGGTGCGGATGGGACAGCCGCTGTGCTTTGTCGCGTTTCTGTCAGGTGCTCGCAGCGGTGCTCTATGTAGTGGTCGGTTCTAGCAAATGCACAGCCTTGTGCCCGGGCTCAGAACACCACAGTCAGGGGACCAGCGTTGACAGGCACTGAAATAGACCGAGAAACATACAGGTCTGAGCTTCTGGAATTGCCTTTTCAGAAGACTCAAGTGTCTCATACGGTGCCACACAATTTTCCATAGTAAAGAAGCCAAAAGATGATGGGTATTTGGATAAACCTGCTCTAAATACTGCTGAGGAATCTCAGTCCAGCAGTGTTTATATGCTGTTGTTTAATCTGGTGAAGTTGTAATATAAATTGATTTTTAAAAAAAGAGAATGAGGAATGTAAACAGCTTTGTAATTGCCCTTCCAAAAACAAGGGCAAGTTATCTTTAAAAGAAGTTTACAGCTAACCTATTTATTGCTTTGCTAAAATCCTATGGCCTCCATTTAATAACAATAGCTTTTAATTTCATGTGGTATAAGATTGCACTGATCTGTCTTCTATCGTGCTGCTTCCTGAGTGCATGTGGTGATTTAACTCAGAGTACAGTCACTGCTGTCTCCTGGGGCAGGGCTCATCTCATCTAACTCCTGAAACTCAAATGTAGTCCTTCCTCCGTATGTGAATTGGTTGTCTGGGGCTCAGTTGTGATATGTTGAAAGAAACTGTGCCCTTTTAAGGCTCAGTTTAATGTATCTGTTGAAATAGCTTTGTTTTTTTCCCCTCTGTCCACTTAGAAACTTCCAGAAAGTACTGCTGAGCTTTGTGTTGATTTCAGCAGAAGTTTGTGATTATCTAATCAGCACTACAGGAGGAAGTGTGAACCCCATCAAATACTCTTATATGCAAGAAATGAAAGTGGCATTAGATGTGTCTTCGCTCTGCTTAATATTTTTGTGCAGACTGGTTATTTCAATATAATGCTGCTCTTTTACTCTGCTGGACAGTTTGTTTCTATGTGTCAGTCAAGTCAGTGGAAGAAACATCACCAAAATGCTATGGTTTATAAAAAATCTTTCCCACTGTTATGTAAAATCATCTGGCTTCCTGGTACCTGAGTAAGGAGAATCCCCTTTCCCTGTCAGGAAGTGGCCCTCACCCTTTCCTGCTGTGTTGAGAAAAGATAGCTTGTGACATCTTCCAAGAGCTTGCTTGTATACAGAACTACTCACAGTAAAAAATCAGCAGCAGCAGCACCCTCCAGCCCTGTAAACAGGCATGATATTTTGATTTTCTGTATCATCCTCTCTTAGAAGAGGTTACATTCATATTGCTCTAATGTCTCTGCTTTAACCATTCCAGCACCTCAACTCTTCCTCATCTGGATTTCTTAGAGATTACTGAGCAAGTGTGTGATCTTTCTGATGGACTGCACATTGTCATTGCTTCTGTACTTCTGGGTTTTTTTAAACCAACAACAGCAGAATGACTTGGGCATGAAACTCCCCTCTGTGCCTGCCATGCATTAAACTTGAAAAGAGAAAGTGCCCAGAGAGGATTTTATATATATCTTTTGACATGTCCCCAAAATGAATAGGTAAAGCTGTTCTTAGTAAAAATGAGAGTTTATATACCAACATTTCCTGCAGCATAAAGTTTAGCTACACTAGACATAAGGTGTGTGAGTCTTTACAAATGACTCTGTGTCACAAATGTCTTCTGTGTGAAGGTTGGAGTGACCAAATTGACCTTGGTCACATGCAGGTAGTTGAATGACTACTGCCATTAATTTGTGTAGGTTTCTACTACCAGGATTCAGCTATGGAGAACAGTAATTTTGTATGTTTCTGAGCTGGAGACTACAGATAGCAAACATGAATGTTATCCACTGTGTTGATTTTTGCAGGACCTGGCAAAATCAAGTCCATTTAACATCCTGTCCTTTTCATTTTTAGCAAGTCTCAGAGCTATCCCTATCACTCACCCTGTATGCATTTGTTTAACTTGCAGGCACAAGTCTTCAGTGTGCTACTTCAGAAAGCCCCATTCCAGATATAAAACTGGAATAGCTGAAGTGATTTTGCCCTTTTGAAAGTTTGCATATCCAAATTGTCCAATTCATGACTTTTGACGCACTAGAGCAACAAAACCACAAGAGGCCCTGAAAGCACTTGAAATGCCAGACTCTGACAGGGGCTTTCACAGGAAGCACACTTGCCTTCAGATACACCCCAGCCAGCCACGGTTCTGTGGTTTTTCTGCTGCATCTGTGCCTGACCTTAAACAGAGCAAAACAGGGTTGTCAGACAAAAATCATGTTGATCCCTCATCCCTGTCCTTTTCTGGTTTGTGGTGTTCTGATGCAGTTTTAGGTTGGGGATATCCTTGTGTTGGTTCTGTTTAATCATGAAAAATGGGAACAAGAGATCCTTCTGGGTCACAGGCACACAGCACAGGCAACTCAGCACAGAGTTGCTCTACTTAAGGTTCATAGGCCCAATGTTGCAGCTGATGCTGTGGCCCCAAGAGCTCTGCTTGTGCACAGGATGCTGCAGCTGGCTGCCAGCTCTCTCCCCTCTTCCTTCCTGTACCAACCCATGTGTGTCTACACCTGGGTCAGTGTGGATTTCTAACCCTTGCACTTCTGTTTCCTGGAGAAAGCCAGAACCCCTCCCTGTTTTGCTTTGGGACACTTGAGCTGTGAAGCCTGTGGTCTGGGATAAGAGGTTCTACTTGTCAGAGCCATGACTACATAAAAGCTGTGGTGCATTTTACTGTGCTTAACCCAGGCATCCTTTCTGCCTCCTTTTGAAGTCTCCTGTTTGCCACTGCAATGATACATGCAGCTTCAAATTCAAAGGCACAGTCTCAGGATAGAGAACACTTGGGGAATAGTATCATTTTGAGGTGTTCTTTTATCTCCCTCATCCCATTCACTGCCATGTGTTCCAATGTGGCATATGTTTATGCCAAACCCCATTTAAGGAGTATTTGTATTCTGGAGCCAATGCATGTTATTCAGATTTGGATTTGTTTAGAAAGGGAAGAAAAATAAGCATCTTTTGAGGTGGATAAAGTCCTCGATATCTTTCAAGGTGTGCAGTCCAAGCTGATCTGAACTAAACTAATACAGTCCTGCCTTTACTTCCGCCTCTGTTTCCTGCCCCTCTCTTTCAGCTGGTTATATACAGAGCCCTTTCTGCTGGGTAAAAAATTTCTCTGCAGAAAAAAACATGGTGTGCTGTTGAAGAGGGACATAATGTCAGTTTTGTGGTGGCTTAGCTTTCCCGATCAGTTCATTGTTTAGTGTGGGGGAACTTGCTGTGATGTAGAAGAGTTTTTTTTGCAGGATTGGGTTCTCTCTGGGGAAGTTTAGTTTCGCAGTGTTCCATCCTTTCTTTCTTTGTTTTCCCTAAGCTCCCTAATTAAACAGTGTAACATACCTTGCAGTGTTGCCTTTGATCTTGATATTGCAGGGATGATGATATACAATGAGTTGTTTTGTCATTTGTATTTGCAAACTTCACCACTTTGAGACCTTGACTAAGGTTTTGTAAGCACAAAGAAAATGCCCTATTTCTATGATACTCAGTTCAGATTATTTGTTTGTCTTTTACGTGATATTAGGTGATCAGAACTAAACTCCTTAGCAAAGGCAGAACCCACAACTGATCCTCTTGTATGAGTGTAAATATCAGTCTATTCCTTCTCTGTGATTTATCTTTAAATTTTACCTCTTCCTTAGTCCCATTCTCCACCTGCCAAATGCTCAGTGGATGCATTAACTTGCCCTTAGTCCCAAAGTGAATAATGTAATTTCTTAGCAGAGCTAGTTGTGTTATCATGTTGTCCATATAGGGCCAGAGTAAGCACCTATCTGCCTGAAAAGGCCTGGAAAAGATTTTTTCACAGGAAAAGATTTAAGTGAGAAGTTCTTTCTCTTCTGCTGGAGGTGATGCAGGTCAGATGAAGTGCCTGATTTTTTGCCTCTTTTGCTCTCATTTCATCTCAAGGAAGATGAAAACTTGGCATGGGGTTGATGGAGAAGACAGAGGATGGAAGGAGTTGCAGTTCATTTGGTGGTTGGGTAGTATAAATGGTCTCATTTTTAATGTGCTCAGAGCAGGCTGTTGTGCTAACATGCTTTTATTTCATCATTATGACTGACTCCTGTCCAAGGTAAAGTAGTCATTTAAATGCCCAAAGCAAGTGGCAGATGCTGTACCTTTTTTTCGTCTTCCACCTAAAACTATCTTATTATTCCTGTGTTTTTTAATGTAGGAAACGAAGACGTGAACAGCACGACTCCAATTCCAAGCAATGGGTTGGCAGGTAATACTTTTGGTATTTCTGTTGCTGTTCCTCAGTAGCATCAAGAAAAGCAGTATGTATTATTTTCTGTACTATAAACTGTCTTGTAATAATTTGCCCTTTATTTTATTTTATTGAATTGTGTGGGCAGCTGTAGGGCAGAAGGGGGAGGTACTGTGACTGTCACATCTATTCCGGGACAAATAAAGATACTTAAGGGAAATGGTAAAACACAATTCAGTTTTCCCATATCCTTGGGAACCCCAGAGCAACAGAGAGAGGAGAAATAAAATGGGAAAATACTGTGTATAGAACTAGAAACACCTGTCAACATCAATTTACAGTTAAAAGGTAAGCCAAGAAGTCTGCTAGATTAGAATTCAGTGATATTCAGATAAAGGCAAGGCATTTTTTCATTTGAATAATTTTTTACCCTCTACTACTTCAGTCATCTCATTTGTTGGCCAACAGTACTCTGCTCATTAACTCACTCTTGTGAGTCTTGTGCTAATTGCAATACTGACTCACACCCAAATTCTAGGCAGTAGATATGGCTTCTTTTTACCTGTAGGAACACGCAGTCCACATCCAGAGCTGTCCCAGGCCTGCAGAAGTAGGTGCTTAAAACCTGGTGGAAAACTAAATATGTGTTCTGGTTACAGTATTGGGCCTGTGTGGGATAAAAGTCAACATATGCAAGAAAGAATGTGTTTGTACTGTCATAGACCCTTTCTCAAAGGCATTTAAATCTGCAACTTAATGTCCCAGTTATGTTAGTATAAGGGTTGAGTGTGCAGTACACAGTGTAGGGTGCTACTTGGCTGTGATTATACCAAAGAAAAAGTAATTACCTCTGTAATTTTCACCCCCTACCATTTTTTGGTATGAAAATGTAAATTTGTTCTTAACCTGACCTTGCTCATAACATGAATGCAATTGCAAAGGGTTTTAGACTAGACTTCTCCAATGATAAGAACAGCAGATCCATTCAAAGGAAGTAGGTAGAGGTCTGCTTCTTTATTGCAGTAGCTCTGTTGCTCTCCTCTTAATCTCTGAGGTTATGTGCTTTGTTTTTCAGCCATGCTAAAAGCAGCAGGGCTGCTGCAAGGCACATAACCCTGCCAGTGTAGGAGGGTGCTGTAAAAGATGACTTACTTCAGAGAAAAGAATGATCATAGAATGGGCATTCACAACAGTGCAGAATGAAGGGAGGAAGGTATGGACAGTGACACTCCCAAAAACAGCCCAGGTCTTTGCCAGGAGGAAGGGATGGTTAATCTGTGAGAAACACAGAAGAGGGATGCAGCAATGAGGACAGAAGTGAGTGGGAAGGTGCCTGAGAAACCTAGAATTAGGAAAGAGGACCATGAGGACAGAAAGAGAACTGGAACAGGAGAAGTGAAACAAAGGAGAGAAAGGCAAAACCACTAAGACTGGGTTGCGTTTTATGTCTGGGAAAAGGTACTTTCTTGGGACCCTTTTTGTTAGAGAACGTAAGTATGCAGGAAGATGTTGCTCAGAGTTATCTGTCTGCCCCTACTTGACTACCGTATATTCCCAGTATCATCCCAGTTTGCAACAGAGATGCAACAAAATGAAGGGAAAGGTCAAGGGACAGAAGATGGAACTGAAATAGAGGAATAAAAATACAAAACTGCTCCTCCCCCCACCCCCCAGTGCATAAGTAGGTTAAGAAAGTCAGTGACAGTATGGTTATTTTACAGCAAACGGATTAAAACAGGAGATAGAAATAAAAGATGACAAACAGAGGATGTGTAAAGAATCAGATGCAGACCATTTGGACACTGCTGTGCATACAGTGTTAACTATGCTGTACTGAAATATAGAAGTATTTTGCAGAGGGATAAAAACCATCTGCTTTGGGGTGAGCTATTCTCTGCTGTATTCCCAACTATACTCCCCAGGCATAGATACCCTGAGGACAGTATTGTGTTGTGAGTACCTTAATTATAGTATGTTAAAATGAAAAATACTGATTTTCTTGTTTTGTTTTTTTTTCCTTGAAGACAATAGCAGTTCATCCACTGTCACTTCATCATCCACACAATCTACAGCAGCATCTACAGGAGGTATGTATCTGTTCATCTGTTAATTAGTGTGAACCAGGAAGTTAGTTCCAAACTTAACCCTGATCATACCAAATTCTAAAGAACAGGCCTAAAAAACAAAAATTCTAAAGAACAGGCTTTTTTTCTAAAGAAAAGTGGGTATTTGAGACAGCTCTTACTATTTTAAGGCTGTTTATGGCTGTTACCATTATAAGGGAAGCAACATCTAAAATAACTCTGAAAAGAAGCTGTATTGTTTTTCAAATTTAGATACCATACTTCATCAGTAATTGCATTTGTGATGCTATTTAAACAAAGGAATCAAAATTTAGCTTTGAGGAAGAATTGCAAGAAGTTGGGTTTTTTTAATGTTTACTCTTCATCTTTAAGTAAACTTCTTCCGTTTTCATGAAGTAAAGATGAATAGGTTGTTATGTGAACAGTGCATACCTATTTAATGTTATTTCACAGTAAACAGATTTAGGGTATAGTGAAATCCTGGGAGCTTGAGTTTCAAGAGTAGGACTCCATTTCCTTTTACGTAAGACTCATAAAATCACAGTGTCAGGGTTGAAGGAGAACTTCAAGATCATCTGTCCAGCCATCAGTGTAGCATCACCATAACCACCCCTAAACCATATCCCCGTGTGCCACATCCAGGCTTCTCTTGGACACTTCCAGAGAAGGTGACTCTACCACCTCCCTGGACGACTTATTCCAATGCCTAACCACTCTTTCAGTGGGTTTTTTTTTTTCTGCTATCTCCTGGCACAACTTGAGGCCATTTCCTCTTGTCCTTTCATTTGACACATGGCAGAAGAGACCATCTCATCTCACTACAACCTCATGGCACCTAATACGTAGAAAATAATCCTTAGAGAGCTCATAGCACAAAATAGTGCCATTTAAACCAGTATCAACTAAGTGGAACAATTTGTCATGGATGTATTTTCATTGTTCTAGCAGTACCATACTTCCTTCAGAACCTGTCAAAACAACTGTAAATAAGTTAAATTAGGAAGTTAAAACATTAATCTTCTGGAGGAGCTTGCACAGGTAGATTTCACTGCATTAGTAAGGACTGCGTAAGAATTAAGGCCATGCAGTTGTTTGTGATGCACAAATAGAATATTGTATCTGAGAGAAGCTAGTTCTAGAAACTGGGGCCCCTTTGTGCTAAGAGCCATGTGAAAGCAGGGCAGAAATGTTGTGTCTACTTAAGATGCTTTGTGTATTTGTGGAGTTTTAGGCTGATCATAAAGTCCCAGCTATGTAATTTTACTTTCAGTACAACTCTTATATTCTGTCTCTGTAATTTCCAGATAAGCTCTGAGCTACTGCACTGAGAAGTTGCTTGTTTTTTTTCATTTAAGTATAAAATACTCACTGGAAGAAAAAATATCCCCACCTTTGTGAAGACCTTCCTTCTGATAGCAAGCAAGTGGTGCACTGTCTCGTTCCATTGCCTGCAGTGTAGCAGTTCAAGCATGTCTAACTTGGAAAGTCAAGATTTCTGTAATCTCCTTGTTGCCTTATGGCCATCCCTTAAGTGTGTGAAACCTCAGTGTTTCACCCATCCTGTGCTCCTTCTGACTTCTGCTCCAGCCCTTGCAGGTTTCTTGGAGAGAAATGAATTTTACTAGTTTTGGATAATAACAGTAAAAAGAGGCCTGAGCCCTTTACTGTTAGGCATAGGATAAACCTAACAGATAGCTGTGCCTTGCTTTGTAAGGTTTGCTGATTCCCATCCTTTAATCTTTTTTTTTTTTTTTCC